ATCCCCCCAAGGCGACTTCGGAGTCGCGTCTAGATACTTAGGATCATCCTCAATCAGAGAGAACGTCTGAGTGGATTGGGTTAACCGACTTGAAACTATTTCTAACTAGGCCTCACCTGCAAGATTTAGTGCTGCATTTATCAAAATCTGTCATCATATCGCTTACATTTTGTCGTGATGCATGTGTCTGGTATACTCTTATCAGAATGGGTATCATGTGGGATATATTGATACTTTGTTGGAGTGCACCTCCCTCACGCAGTAATAATAATAATAATAGCTATCAAAATACAAGGACCTTGAAATGTAGCACATGGAAACATCAACAATCGTAGTTGGAGCCCTCAGATTGGCTGGAAAAGATTCCAGTTAGACTAATTGAAGGGATTCCTGGAAGCCCATGCCTTAAAGAAATATAAAAAATTGTTCTCACGAGTACAGCCCACACCTTACGAAGGACTTTATCGATATAATTTTTTTTTTTTTTGTCTGTGGAAAATGTCATGATACCATTTCTAACCTTAAGTCTTTGGACGGGACCTAGAACGAAATGTGTACACACCAGAAATCAAAGGAAATAATAATAATAATAATAATTGGACCACTATGTCATGTTGAGTTTAATATTCAGTGGGTGCCAATACTGTGCCACCTGATACAATTGACCATCTTGTATCAGGTTGCATAATATTGGCACCCACTGAATATAAAACCCGGTATGGCAAACTGAGCCAATATCTGCATTGAAAAATCTGAAACTTTTACGGAAAGTAAATTGTAAGAAATTGGTATGGACATCACCCAGACACGGTTATATAGATAGGACCTGTAACCATTTTATGTCTTTACAATGCACAGAGACAGAACAATCAAATCTAATCGCACAGACATTGTGATCAAAGACACAAAAACAAAATGAGCTTACTTGACATGGCAGTCCTTGCAGATTGTAATGCATCTTTGAAGATCTTCAAAAAACTATCAAAGTATAAAGACCTTGAAACCGAAATCTCAAGAATGTGGCATATGAGGACAACAACAATTCCAGTTGTAGTTGGAGCTGGAAAAAGATTCCGTTTGACTCATTGGGCGGATCCCTGGTATATACAAAGAAATGTACACATGTACAGCTCACACCTTATGAAGAGCTTTATCTATCTAAAATGTGTATGATCTTTTTCTTTCTTTTTTTAAATTGTTCAGTGGAAAATGTCATGATGCTATTTCTGGCCTTATGTCTTTGGGCGGAATTTGAAAAGAAATTAGTATACACCAGAAATCAAAAGAAAGAAATAATAATAATAATAACAACAATAATAATAATAATAATTTTTTTTTTTTTTACAAAAAAAAAATTGATCAGTGAATGGTGTCATGAAGCTATTTCTAACATTAGGTCTCTGGGGAGGACCCGGAAAGAAATGTGTATGTAACAAAAATACTAGATAATAATAATAACCACACCACCTTATGTTCATTTTTCATCTGAAAATGACCAGACCAGGGATTGTCCATAATAATAAGAACTATATTAATCAGTTAGAATCGAACTTGTTCACGAGCAATGTTTTTTTATTTTTCCCCCTGTATTTTTAACATCTAAAATATTGGATACTTTTTTTTTTTTTTTTGTACACAATGAATTAATGGATCTCACCAAACCAGGCCTTATAACCCTAACCCTGTTGTCATTACTTCTCCACTTGGACAAACTCAGTTGGTTGATGAAAAAGTTACATAATCTTGTTCAGTAGAAGAAACGGACAAGTCGGGAATAAGATTAGTGAGTATTATTAACTGATATATTATAATTGATAATTATGATAAGTTCAATATTCATCAATGTCGAATCTGAATTTCGTAATTTCTCACTTCAGGACGTTCGATAAAATAAAAATTATTGTACTGGTTAAAGAACGTCTATTTTATAAACGATACTCAAAATTCTAAATTTGATTTTTTTTCCTCCACGAAATGGGGCTAGGGTAATTTTTCCAGAACCCACTTTAAATTTCGACCTTGTATTACATTCGGTAGTGACGTGGGTGCACTAAATTTATCTATAACAACTAAAAGGTCAAATAATTCATTTCAACCAGCTATTGAACTCACAACTCTTTGGATCTAACAAACGCCTTTATTCACTATGCCTTGAATCCTTGAGGGCACATGGCACAGTGGATAAAGGCGTTATTTAGATCCAGTAACAGGACCCAAAGAGTGTGAGTTCAATACCCGGCTAATGCAGTGGGGAACTTTCGGAGGGAAATTAGTTAACAGGAGATAACTGATAAGTGACATCCATTAGACATAGCACGTGAAACTAGAACAGTCTACCCCAGTGAGCGAAATAAAGGGTTCAATTCGACATTCCAACCACCTGAAGAAGGCCGGAGCTTACAACGGCCGAAACACGGTGATAGATATGGCAACAAAGATGAAGACAATAGTCCGAATAATGTAAATAAATAACTTACGAAAATCAGTGTTGACTCCGAAAAGTGTTGAACTTTATTTCTGACTCAGTAATTATTGCTCTAGACACAACTATCGAGCACTTTTTTGAGAGAAATTCTTTTCAACTTGAATTTTACGCATATCAGTAGGTATTATTATTATTTTCAATGTTATTGTCGTGGATACTGGTATCTGAAATAGACGCCCCATTTTTTGATTTATTTTTTTTAAACAGTGTTTATTACGCTTCTTATCGAACTGCGCATTTAAGAAATCTTAATAAAGAAAAATATTCAAAGAGAATAATACCGGATTAAAAAAAAACACTAATTCTTTAGAAATTTAAGATATACAAACCACTAAGCATGGAAAAACGAAAAGAAAAACAATCTACCCGCGCGGATTAAATGAAAAGCTCGATTCAAAATTTCGTTAATTTCCGCGAGTTCGACGAGAGTAAACTGAAGATGGCCGGAAAGTACAGGGGCTGAAATATTTTGTTTGAGTATAACGACCAGGATGAGTATGCTGGTTCGAATAGCAGCGCAGAAACAACTAAACCTCTTTAGTTTGCATTTAATTGCACATGCGCCGCTATCTAGCACAAAATTTCGACAAGAGGCAAAATATTTGTGACTGCAAAACTCAGAATTTCATACGACATGACTTTCCGAATGTTACAGACATTGACACTTTTTTTTACAGTAGACTTTTTTGTAATAATAATAACAAAAATATGGGAATGAGGCATTTTGCCGTTTTAATTTGGATGACCTCGCGTGATTTTTCCTTTTCCGATCAGTAGCATGTTCCTCTCAAAAAAAGAAAAAAAAATGCACACCAGAAAATTATAAAAAGAAATAAAATTGCATTATTTCTCTTTCTTTTTAATGACAACGCGCTTTGTCCTGTGGACTGTCAACACACGAAGCAGCAAGTGACAAGTTGATTTGCAACTGTGTAAGAAGAAGCAGCGATAGTTCTGAGACTTCGTACAAAAAATGTACACAAAGTTTAAATTCGCAATCAAGTGCTTGATCAAGAGCTGGAAGTCGGAAAATATCCGTTCAACGCGCGTCAATAGTAAAAAATGTAAAACTAAATATATGCTTTCTCAATTTTTATAAACTTTCTCCCAACTCCGTGAAATTAATTAAGTTAGTGAATGTTTTTGTTTACCAATAAACAAAAACAAATTTTGCATCGTAAACTTAACTGTCACCTACCAAAAAGCAACTAATGCTGTCACACCCACAAATAGTAAATTTTACACTCGGACGTACAGCAGGTAGAGAAATTTACTAACTCGTCTCTAGGAAAGGGGTGGTACTAACTACTCAGGCTAGTTAATAAAAATAAACCACTTATTTAGTTAATTAAGTTGATTTATTTATATCCAATTCTAGAAACAAATATAGGCGGAAAAAAGCTTCAGGCAAATTTGATTTGGTTTCGTGTTTATAAGTTGGAAATGACAATCTGTGCCGTATTTCAGCGATGATGGAATGTTTGTTGTGACGTTGTTTACCGGTGTGTCTGACCACGTGGGTTTAGACTAGAGAGACTTATTTTTTTTTTTTAAGACTGACCGTTGAAAAACGTGTAGAAAAGAAAAATATAGGTGGTGTTCTGAGTGATTTTATTTATTTTATTATTGTTACTGTTTCTCTTTCTACTATTTACTATCTCTCCTCGACCAACCCAGCATTTAGAAAAAAATTAGGGAATCTCGGAAATGATTTAGGGGTGGGGGCAAGCTTCTTTTTCTTTCTTTCACTCTCTCTCTCTCTCTTTTTTTTTTTTTTCTTTAGCTATACCTGCAAATACAAGACTTTTGTGTGTTTTCTGTACATCGATGTTCAATATTGAGAACTGTGACAAAATCCGTGAAAGAAAGGGACGTAAAGAAGAGAGAAAAAGAAAAAGACAGAAAAAGAGAAGAAGAGAGAACTGGAAAAAAAAAGAAAGAAAGTGTGTGATTGAGAAACTGGGGAAGAGAGAGGGAGAGGAAGGAATTCTTTCAATGTTTATATTTTCTTTCTCTCTCGCCATAGTTTCTTTTTTCTTACTTTCACTGGCTTTTTCCCCTCCTTTTTCTTTAGTTGCGACTTGGTTTTTTAAAAAGCTAATGTTACCTATCCTGTTTATTTTTTTTAATTTAAATTATAATATATATATATATATATATATATATATATATATATATATACTTAACCTTGCTCATTGTAGCCGTTATTTTTACTTCAGTTTTTACTTTTTCTTCATTTACTTACGTTACCCTTCCATCCACGTGATCATATCTCCTTCCTTCATTCTTCTTCATCATCCAGCACAGTCCCTGACACCACCACCACCACCACCACCACCACCAACTTCATTATCATTATTGAGATCATCATCACTATCATCAACTATTAGTTAATAATAACATCATCATTAACTTCTCTGATTTATGCATGGGTTGTTTTGTGTGTGTTTAAGGTGGGCGGAGGAACGTAAGTTCACTTCCTCCCCCTTCTACTACTACAACTTTTTCGTTCTAAATGTTCTACATCACCCTCCTTCTCAACTCCTTGGTTTTCTTCATCACCTTCTCTTCCTCCTATTTCCTTCTACTTAGTAACTACTACGTCAACCTACCACCACATCCATTCCGCTACCCACACACCCGCATCACCATCAACCGATATTACCATCAACACCAGTTTCATCACCATCATCATATTACTATATAGACACACTCTTTATATATCAAGTTTTTAAAAAATAGGAAGAAGGAAAGGAGTAGGAGGTGTAGAGAAAGGTACAAGTGGGAGGAAAAGTTTAAAGAAAGATACGTGATGGGGTTGGAAGTAGAAAAGGTGAGGGTGAGAAAAAAACAGGGTGTGGAGCTGTGTAACTATCAGAATCCACAAAGAAAGCTGCTAAAACCATGATAGAGAGAAGAATTAAAAGAAGAATGGAATGAAAACAGAAAGCATAAAAGGATTGTATGAAGAGAGAGAGAGAGAGAGAGAAGGGAGCTGAGAGAACAAGAGACAAAGATACATACACATACAAGGAGGAATAATAGCAAAGAGAAAGAAAAGGATGAAGAATCATTTTTCAGTTTCAACAATATTGGCCTGTTGTTAGAGCAGTCTTATGATTGGCTAGTATACACAAGAAAAAATATTATTTCACTCTTTTTTTTTTCTTTTCTTTTTTTTTTTTGGTCTGTCTTTTTTACTTTCTGGGTTTTTCCTTTTTCTTTCTTTTTTTAGTCTTCTTTCTTTTATTAATTTTCTTTTATGCTTTTTCTAGACTTTTTCCATTTTTTTTAAAGTTAATTTCTTTTTTCTTTTCTGTCATTAATTTTCCTTCACACCTTCTTTTTTTTTTTTTTTGCCTTCTTTTTATTTTCTTTTTATTTTGTTGCCTGTTTTCTCATTTTCTTACTTTTATATCTTCTCTTTTTTCATTTATATTTCTTCTTACTTTCCTTCAGTCTGGAAGATATTTTTATATTTTATTTATTTTTTAG